TCGAAAATTACGAAAGTTATGAGGAAATGACGTTAGCATAGTCAAAAATAGCCCAAAAAAGCGGTTTTTGGGGGTCTGAGGGGGGGCGGAGGGGGTTGGGGGGCTAAAATCCCCCAAAACCTAAGTTTTAGGACCCCCTTGATGACTTAAAATGGTTAAAATAAAAATCCATTCACAAGGGCATTTTGACATGCTTATCCCGGGATACCCTTTGGAAGAAAAATACTTTTGAAAATTCCTGAAAATTCGTGATTTTTCGGAAGAAGCTTGCAACTTAAGTAAAAAATAAAAGAATGAAGAGTCCTCATAGTGCAGCAAGTATAAAACAAACATGAATTTTCTCACCGGAAGTCCAGCTATGCCTGGAAGTCCTGTTTCCCCCGGAAGTCCTCGTTCACCAGGGAGACCAGAAGGCCCTTGTAGTCCAGGAGCACCCTATCAAAGATTTTATCATAAAATCTTAAAAATAAAGGAAAAGCTTTTTTCATAGGGCTTTTAATCGAAGTAAACATGGATTTTCTGAGTCACCTCTCAAAGCACCTGTCAAATGGTGAGTCAATGTGTACAGTTGGATTATAATCCACCAATTTTGCCCCCAATTATGATAGATCATAACTATAATCAGATTTTTGTTAAAGGTTCATGATTGTTATCAACTGCGGACCTTCCATTATTTTGACTTTAGTTTCGTTTAAAGTCTGTGGGAGTTGGTCGGTATGTGTGGAAATATTTGTGAGGAAGATTCTTTCTCCACTTCTGTTATGATACCTTGTGTAGTCCTCTACATGTATCTCAATTTCATGTTCTTTCTGGCCCTAAGATCCTTTGATATTCACTTATTGATGATGACAAATCCTCAGATTTCTTGTTACATTTTATTTGTTTGATTCGAGGATGACCTACTCTAATTTTGGCAAAAAATTTCATCTGCCTTTGCCTTCCTCTCTTAAGTATATTTTTTGAAAACGTAAAAAAAAATGGAGTATGGGTGCATTTTTGAAATAACCCAATCAAGGTACACATTTTTGTAGATTCACAGTTGATGTTATGAAAAACGTGAGTATTCGTCTTAAGAGCCAAAGCGTTTCAAAATGTTATTCAAGAAAGGTTCGTCTTACCTGGAGTCCTGGTAGACCTGCAGTTCCTGGGTTACCTGGAGCACCAGGCAGCCCTTGATATCCCAAATCTCCTTTTAATCCAGGTAATCCAGGATTACCTGCCACTCCTTTTTCCCCTTTCAGGCCGGGAGTGCCTGGAAATCCTTGTGCACCCGGGAGTCCGTCCTGACCTGGTTTCCCCGCTTGGCCTTGTTCGCCCTTCACAAAAAAGATATGATATTAATATTATCATAGCTTATCAGAGTCAATTCAGTGGTAGAATTCAAAGTCCATGACAAAACGCTCCGCCTCTCTGATGGCAGCGGAACACAGAACATCACAATCTGATAGCACAGAGTTCGCTAATGGTGACAAACAAATCTTATAGTCTATACTCTATACTCTTATAGTCTCTACTCTGTACTCTTATACTCTATACTTTATACTCGTAGGGTCGATTGTAAGACCTCTGGTCAGGTGCTTGTCAAAGTGGTGGTTTGAGCTGATCAGAGCTTGACCAGAGGTAGGTGTGTATGACTCCCAGTTTTCTTCTGGTCAAGTCCCGGTCAGCCTTTGTTTTCTCTCGCAAACCAGTACAGTAGACTCCAAATTATCCAGATTAATTGGTGCCGGGACCGATCCGGATAAAAAAAAATCTGGATAATAATAGGAAAAACAAACACCACCAACCAACACCACAGTATTCTTATGTGATCTTAATAAGTTTATGAAGTTTTTTATTGGGTCCATTTTAATTTCAGAATGGGTCCACTAACTGGAATACCTTGCGATCTAGCTTAGTTCAGCCACAAAAATAAGGGTTCGTTTACTTTTGGGTGCTTTCCAGTTTTCTTATCAGAACTTATCGGAATGCGTACGTAGTTACATGGTTGCAAAATCGATCCGGATAATACGAAGCCGGATAATCCAGAGTCTACTGTAGTTAGCCTGAATAGCAGATTGACTGCCGGTCAGAGTCTGACCACTGGTTTGTTGGCGAGAGGTTGACAAGAGATCTTGCAAACGGCCCTTATAGTCTATACTCTATTCTCTTATAGTCTATACTCTTTATGTAAGCTTCAATATTAGATCAGGATGAGCTCACCGGGTACCCTCTTGCTCCTGGAGGGCCTGTTGGACCCGTGATTCCCGGAAGGCCTTGGTGTCCTTTGGATCCTTTCTCACCCGGATAGCCGGGCATTCCTCTTTCTCCTGGCCGTCCTTGCAGTCCTGGCAATCCAGGATGCCCTTTTGGACCGGCTGGACCTGTTATCCCTGGAAGTCCGGGGGGGCCGGGGCTCCCAATCCGCCCTGGCTCTCCATGATCTCCCTTCTGTCCGGGTAACCCTGGGAAACCGTTCTTTCCTATCAATCCTGGAATTCCCTGTAACAGTGATGCATGCATTGCTCTTAATGAATTGATCCTTGTGTCGAATGGAAATAGGCAACTGGCGTATGGAAAACAGTAGAGAAATAATTCATCATTTGAGTTTACATATTGATAGTGAACCTGCAGAACTTGATCGTTCATCTATCTCAGTTTGAAGTGTAGAGGAGTCCAAATTAAAATTTCTTTATTAACTCACCCAGGATCCCAGTATTTGCTTTCAGAATTTCCTCGAATTTTCTGGAAATTCTGGAAAAAGGTTAATAAATTGAGCAAACTTAGAAATGATCATATTTTAGCAGGTTTGAACCTTGCAACAAGGCGAGAAGTAAGTGCTGCCCGAACATCTACTAATATTTCAGTGAGCGTGGACTGTGTAAATAGGCACGAAGTATATGCCGACTTAACATACCAAATATTTACTACACCTCAAACATTTCAGGAGATACAAAGTTCGTAACTGGGAAACAAAATCTCTTGAGTGGATTTTGAAAGTTTCAAATTTTCTCTCAGAGTCTAGGGAGCTTCCTATTTTTTAATAACAACTTACAAAGCAAGAAACAAATTAATTAATTTTGAAGAAAATTAATAAGAAGTAGCATTGAATCATTCAAATTTTGTCCCTCTATTGCTGTTCTTGAACCATATTACAATGTTTGGGAGTATTACCGGAGGACCAGTCTGGCCAGGTCTGCCCTCTGGCCCTGGAAGCCCGTTTTCTCCGCGAAATCCAGTATCACCTCTTTCACCTTTTTCACCGGGTAGTCCAGGCAAACCTTGGTGTCCTTTGCTCCCTGGAACTCCTGAAAAGAGAGGGGGAAATATCCAAATGAATCCATTCCCAAAATATCCCATGAATATCGAAATATCCCTTGAATCCAAATCAAAGGAATCACATTTTTGGAAGACTCAAATATTGACCATGGGGGCCGAAATTCGTTGAACAGAATTTAATTTACATTGAAAAGATTTTAGAGATTCGAGATTTTCAGATTGATTGAGATTGAAAGGTTTTTTCGGGACTGCAAATAAAATTCATTAATTCGAAGAATTCGTTAAATTGACATTCGTTATTACGAAGTTTTACTGTATTTAACAACTCACCTGCAAATCCTTGAAGCCCAGGTAAACCGGGAGATCCTGTTTCGCCTTTTTCTCCTGTGAGCCCTTGAATTCCTCTCGGACCTGGTAAACCCTACAGTAAAAATTTATAAAATAACGTCGATATTAGCGATAATTGTAGATTTTTAAAGTTGACCGTTCATGAAACAAGTAGGGTCTGACTGAAAATCAGATTTTTTTACACCATCCCCTCCCTTTTGTAATGCAACCGAAACACAGGTCTGCAACTTCCCAAAAAAAAATTGTTAATGCTCGGTACAATCCCCTCCTCAAATTTGCGTTTTGTGATAAATTTTCGCTGAAAAATTGCAACCTGACATTGATTTTTCGTGTTGATTTTCGAATAAGTAGAACCACTCGCTTACTCTAGTATTACTTAACACTACCTAAAATTGGCCCCTTTCCTTCCTAAAAGCATTCTCTATTTTATGACTGGCCCCTAACTGCCATTAAAAGTATGTATTTCACTTTTGAAAAGTTGAATTTGCATGTAACTATCCATCATGAAATTTCTCTAGAGTCTTTCCCTTAATTTTATCGAGAAGGATGAAAATGGATGAGAAGTAATTACATTTTCAATCATTCTCATCGGAGTATGAATGAAGACACTATTAAGTGTACAGTGAGTGTATGTAGTAGTGTATATTGAGTGTATGTGAGTTAATACACTATGACACTATTGAGTGTTGATCATCATTGTCATTTCATTCCAAAATTCTCTTGTTTTCAAGTTGTCCCTCTTTAATATCGTTTCAAAATTTTCAACCGTCATGTGCAAAACCAGTTTTTTTTAAATCTTCAATAATATTTTTGGTATAGTGCTTAGTGAAACTTGATGAATGAAGATACTATTAAGTGTATAGTGAGTGTATGTAGTAGTGTATATTGAGTGTATGTGAGTTAATACACTATGACACTATTGAGTGTTGATCATCATTGTCATTTCATTCCAAAATTCTCCTGTTTTCAAGTTGTCCCTCTTTAATATCGTTTCAAAATTTTCAACCGTCATGTGCAAAACCAGTTTTTTTTAAATCTTCAATAATATTTTTGGTATAGTGCCTAGTGAAACTTTAGAGTGATCGTCAAAACTTTTACCGGGATTCCTGAGTGGCCCTTGTCTCCTTTTAGGCCAGGCAGTCCCTGGAACAAATGAATGGAAAAATTTCATTGAGACTTGAAAAACCTTTACCGGCTATAGAAAAAAGAAAAGCGTAAAAAATACATCCACTTACTTTCTTTCTTTTTCGCCCGATGCAAATTTCGGTTTTCACTATTCAAATGATGGCCATTTTGGCTTCAGCGGAAGCCATCATCAGGTACTTTTTAAAAAAACTAACAACAAAAACAAAAAACCCAAAGCTAAAAACAGAAGTTAAAAATTCTGCGTATTATCCGAAAGAAGTAGTAAAAACACATCCCTTTTTTCAAAGTCAATCTTCTTGAAAATTACCTTCAACAAAGGTAGCTGCTCTGAAGGGAGCAAATAGGTTAATGCTGAATAACGTAACTGAAATAATGTATTGGTTGCTAGATTGTGTCATGTGTCCATTTTAATTATAGCAAGGCAACAATTCTGGAATCTTCAAGCTTTCATTGGCTATCAGAAGCTATTCAAAACAGGGAACTATTTTTTAATGATTGTCACCGAATAGTAGGACAAGAACGAAAATACAAGGGAATAAATTGTGTCGTATAAGTCGGCAGTTGCTAACTTCTAACTGTCTCACGCAGTAGACAAATTTAGCAATATTTCCTCAGAGGAAGGTATTGGTTTTTGGTACCCGCATACAATGACAGCACTTGTAGTCGCTCTCGGTCAATCTTAAATCGCTATCAGGCAGCAACAGTCACTTGCAAACTGCCAACTGGACAACATTTTGTAATTAGGAACTACAGAGGTAAGCATCAAAAAAGATGTACTACTTGTAGTGATGTATTTGAGGACTCAAATGTAACAATAGTGGATGTCGAGTTTTCACATTGTGAGAAAATTGCGTTTGAAGCTCTCGAAGCTTTGCGCTTTGCCGCCCATAGAACGGAGAGGATTCTCATAAAGATTTTCATGAAGAGCAACTCTTCCTGTAAAAAACACGTGTTTTATGATCTACGTAAGTGAAAAATTGCGGGAGTAACAGCGATTTGAAAAAAATGTGACATCCGCTATTTTTACTGAAAACACTTTTTTATGCATAAAACAAAGTCTTCAGGAAGGGTGAGGCTGGTGAAACGATTGAAATGAACCAAAAGTATGTCAATTCTGAGTCATTTAATCAAATTGAACAAAAAACTAAACCGTCTGTATTTTCTACAACAAAAATAAGGAACAAATCATTAAATCAGTTAAAAACTCATCAATTCTGGCGAAACGGTCCCTATGCGTATCATTTGAGTGTCAGCTGCAGCCCGTGGCTGGTGCGAGGGCAGTTAATTGCAAGTGTATTTGAATCTCCGCGGTGTCCTGCCGCACCGGCCGGGGAGAACACTGAGAACAGTGGATTCTCATATCCGCTGTTTTTACAAATAACATGGTTTTCAGTTCATATCTCGCCGAAAAATTACGCTGGAAGTCTAAAACCTTCCATAGGCATTCTTGAGAGCTCCAGAATTCGAAAAAAGCGTTTACCCTCAAAATGGCGGATGTCAGCAACCGCTGTTGTTACATACAAGTCCTCATATAGGTTGTTTCTAAACCAAGCCAGAAATTGTAGTTCCTAATTTCTAAATGTGGTTCAGCTTATCTGATGCGAGTTCTCTCAGAATTGTTACTGAAGCTATGAGAACTAAAACAACAGAATGATTACCGGCTGGCCATTGACTCCAGGTAATCCTGCATCTCCTTTCGGTCCTTGGTTACCGGGAGGCCCCATCACCGTCTCGCCTGGAATACCCTTGTCTCCTTTCAGTCCTGGTAATCCTGGCTGTCCCGGTCTTCCAATTTCTCCTTCTCTGCCTGGAAGTCCAGGCTCTCCTGCCTTCCCCGGCAGACCCTTGAACAAGAAGTCATTAGCAAATGAGAAGGTTGTCAAAAAGAACACATTTACAGTTGACCTGTTAACTGTATCTGTAAGTAATACTTTCGAGGTGTTGGGTGCGAAAAAGGTACTTCTCTCAGTTCCCGTGTTTCAGAATCGCCACTGATTATTTATATTCTGAGGCGAAAAAGCATTAGGTGAATTTTCTGAAATTTTTTTATTTAGAGCATGGTGCGTAGACCGGGAAAATCTGGGAATCATCATCAGGGAATGAAAAATTTTAAGAAAAATCAGGGAATCCATTCTAGAGACTAAGAATCTTTTCTTTTACTGTTATGAGACTGATTTTCCTCCTCAACCTCATTTGAATTTTGTCCAGGTCATATTTTCCTTACAGGCGTTTGCGGAACATTCATGAAAGCAATGCCGAGTTTGTTTGTGTCAAAGAATAAACTGTGGGAAGGAAATTTTAAGTACCTATTCTTTTTAAGGTTAAAGGTCAATGTTATTTTATGTAAGCCGCCATTATTGACCTCTTGAATGGCATATTTTAATCTTTAAATCATCAGAATAATAGAGAATTTTCCATTGACCAGATATTTCAAACATCAAGAATGCCTTTGAAATTAAAAATTTGAATGTGTACAAAAGAATCGGCTAAAAGATAAATAAAAATCAATATTCATATCTGGAACTCTGATGAGTCGTATCGTTTCCCCCCCAAGAAAATCCCGGTAAAGTTGGAGACAACTTCGATTCCTCATCAGGGAATGAGCTCTTGAAAATGTAGGAAAATCATGGAATGAACATGGTCAAGAATTCCAAACACCATACTAAAACTTCACCAGAAATTCTGAGACACGGTAACCAAGAAGGGTCCTTTCTGCACTCACCGCTTTTATATATTGAATGGTAGGAAGTGAAGTAAATTTAGTATCTTACTTGGAAACCCTGTGGTCCTGGAAGACCTGGTGGTCCAGCATCTCCAATTTTTCCCGGTGCTCCGACCAAGCCAGGCACGCCATCGAATCCTCTATCACCCTTGTGACCCTTCATCCCTGGTAAACCAGGTTCTCCTGGTCTCCCCGTGTCTCCCTGTAACAAACAGTTTATTCAAAGTGAATAAAAAATTCCCAGGTATTTTTCCTGATTTGAGCTGGTTTTGTACCTCTGTATTGTACAATCGCGAAAACTGATCAAATAGCAGACTGATTATTGAAATTGACAGGCAAAGCAATAGACAAAGAAGATAAAGGGAGAATGATGCGATCCTGTTGATTGGAATGGGAAGTTGTTATGGACTGTAAGGAAAAATGATGGACTAAATACAGGGTCTCTGGTTGGTTGCTGTTAATTAATATGGTACTTACTTCCTTTCTCCATTGCAACTGCCGGTACTCTCTGATAGGATAGCGTTATTTTCTCATTGTCTTTTAGGTCTATTGCTGTTTCCATCAATTTCAATATTCGTCTTTCTGAAGCAGTTTTAAGTTTCAGAGGTGGAATCGACCACCTTGTTAAATTCAAGTTTCAAGTCTTATTATGGCCATCCTTATTAATAGTTTAGTTCTTGAATAAAACTATGTAATAATTTATTTTAGACCTGAAACTTGGTGAGCTCTACAATAATTAAAGATGGAAATTTTGGAATCTGATGCATGTGTTTCCTTGAATGTTCATCAGTGTACCGATTACAGCTCTCAAGAAAGTCGTGATTTTACCTTTCCTACCTCAAATGTTTACTCATTGCACTTTTAACGTCTTTTCAGAGACACAAGCATCATCAAATTTTTCAGAAAATATACCTTTAGTTTTGATCATCTTTCACTCAATAATGTTTCTGCTGTGTTCAAATTTTATTTTTTTCTTCTTTTCTTGTTTAACAGGCGAACATCTTCAGTTTCAAGGAAGGCCAAAAGGTGTAGCATGTGCGGAGAGCTTTATATGAATTTCCCAATGCGATGAATTTAAACAAATGATGGAATTTTTTTGCATCAGCCATTACCTTTGGTCCCATTGGCCCAGGAAGACCAGGCGCGCCAGGCATTCCTCGCTCTCCAGGTAGACCATCTGTACCTCTCTCTCCAAGGTTTCCTGAAAGTCAAAAAGCACTACTCCAAAATTTCTTCAAAGTCATCATTTCTTCATCAAAAGAGTGAACGCAATGTTCCATTGTATAAGCTAGTGTTAGAAATTAGTGTATCTTAAAACTGGCAACTGTTGTGTTGCTCGTTGACCGCCTCATTTGTTGCTCCAGGCCCCCCACAGCCATTGGTGGGCCCTGGGGTCGGATCAGTCAGCGGGCCCCCCTTTTAGTAAACTATCTAAGGGGGCGATTTTTGAACAATTTGAACTGAATGATACGGCAAGGTGCCGTTGAGAGACAATGTGATTGCCGGACTATCTTCCCGGAAATGGGGAGGGGAGGTTCTCTCAGAGATTCGAAGTTGGCGCACGGCCTCGCGAAATTGTCATCATTGAGAACCTCCGAAAATGAATGATACGAGAAAACAAAATAATATGTACTTTCAACTGAAATATTCCTTAATTTAACAGAACCTAATCTTGTTTAAATTATTGCGGCAGTTGCCCCGTGCAGAAATGAGGAAGGGTATGAATAACTTTGTGCTACCTTAAACAGGCGAGCCAGTCAAAGGAAGGTAACCTTAAACAGGCGTACCCGGGAATGACTTCGTGCTACCTTAAACAGGCGAGCAAGTCAAAGGAAGGTAACCTTAAACAGGCGTACCCGGGATAGTATGAGAGGAATGACTTCGTGCTACCTTAAACAGGCGAGCCAGTCAAAGGAAGGTAACCTTAAACAGGCGTACCCAGGAGGTGAGTGGTGCAGAGCGCATACTGAACTAACAGCCGTTCCGCGGCTGTATTTATATGGGAGCCCAGGAACTGGTTTGTTATACAACAAACCAGTCGCTTATGTAACTGAGCTGGTGTGAAAACTGGTTCGTTATGTAACAAGCGACTCCGAAGGTAAACGCTGTTGCCAGACTACCTGTGTCCTGGACATGAACCAACAGTGAAAGCTTTTTGTAAAATGGTTAAAATTGCTTTTTTTCAAAACTCACCACTTTCATTTAGTATATTTTATGTTGACGCATTTCAAGACCGATTCAAGGTCCCTTCTTCAGCATCCGGGTTTTTTGTACATTCCTGACAAGCTGTGGTTTGAATTCAATATCGTGGCCTTCAGAAAAAAGTTGAGGGTTCTCTGGATTAAGTTGAGGGTTATCTGGATTTAGTTGAGGGTTATCTGGATTTAGCTGTCTCTTCACAGTTGATTGACGAGTGACTGACTGGCGGTTTACTTTGCAGCAGTGATGTAACGCTCCACTCAACGGGCTCCTTCGACTCCTTTCGCTGCAGCTCTTATGGTATATTGAGCCACATTTTGGACATTTGGCAATAGATCTGGTAGAATTTCTGCCGCACACAGCACAAAATGACTTTTTTACTTCCATGATGATTGAGAGCCAAGGGGAGATTGATCTTTATTGATATTTATTATTGATATTTATCTACGCAATTGCTCCCAAAGTTGAGTGTTCAGATGAGTATATCTAGTACCTGTTTGAAAAATTTGAGCAGAGGACGTACATCCTTAATGGACATTTTGTGAATCAGGACTTCTTCAAATGCCATCCATGGGTCAGCAACTGGATAGAATGTTATGCATGGAGCTGACTGCCTTCCCTTACCTAGAATTTCAGGGAAATTAAAGAGCTGAGCATACTTACAAAAGATTCAAGGTGCTGAGAGGAGCTTCCACGATCTACGAAGGTGCTACAAGAGTGACTTCGGTGGCAAAAGCAATAACGCGTGGCACAATGATAAATGATAAGACAAGTCGGTCCCTTTAAGGGTTTTTCAGACTGACTCAAATATCTCATCACCATTCACTTTTAGATTTTTAGTGGCTTCTATGAATTCAAAGGTGTTTCGTATAATCAAGCTTTCATATTTCTCTAGGTTATTTAATTTCCCCACTAACCATTTCGCAATGTTGTAAGTTGGGGCATTAATCTGACTTACTGTAGGTCTCGTTATATTCCCAGGTTTATGGACTTGAGGTTCTAGCGCTAATGATATTTGAATATTTATCTTGTAGATACTGACCAATCACGTTAATCGTTTACTATGATTCTACAAGTAGTGTATTTTAAAGGGATAAAACAATCACATCTTTCGTAAGAGATTAGTTTTGCGTAGTTCTCAATAAGGTTATTAGCATAAAAGGTTGAGTGTATAGTTTGAGCACCGCTGGTTTGGCAATTTTTAACTTTTTCTTCTCTCCATCTGTGAGTATTATTTTGATGGTTTTAGAAAGAGCTTTTCAGAGATTTCCACTGTGTGTAACAGTTTCTGTGCCTAGATAAGTTTTTATGGGAGGGTAAGCGATCGTATAATTTTTTCCAGAGAATTTTCTCAGGACAGAATCCTTTTTTTTTTGCTAGATCACTGCGATTAGCGAATGATCTATACTTATGCTCGAACAAGATACATGGCATGCAATGCAGTGTTTTTTCAGAGGCACTCCAGATTAGCCAATGGCAAGGATATTTCTCCCTTTCGTTATTGGATTTGGAGTAAAGGAAAAACTCCGTATAAGATTGGCCATTCGTGTCTTTTGGTAACAGTCTCAACTGTGTGATAAAGTCATCAAATGCAGAGGCACAATGTACAATTTCAACTCGATTAGCGTCTTCGATGGTTTTTGGCCACTTTTGGGGATCTCCAAGGTCATTCACATTATAATCGACTTTTTCGTTTTCCCTCCTTTGCACCAGAGCACTACTTTCACTATCACATTTGTGAACTTCACCGTCAGTAAAATCAAAGTCACTTGAGTGCGGCTCAGCATTTTTTACGCCGGGAATGGAACCTGATGCTGCTGAACTCGTACACGGCGCGAGAGTTTGAGTCTTATCTAGCTCGATTTTTTTAAAAAAATTGGTGATGTTCTGACGACCTTTTGTATTGGCAGCATCTCGCGCCGCGCTTTCGCTCTCAATGAGTCAAATATACTTAGAGCTATCATGAAATTTTGCAAGCATGAGAGTAATATTTCTGTGTCCTGGACAGTATATTGACACATGAAGTAATTTTATAATCAGGCGCCACCCTCAGCGTCAATGACGACCATGAGAAGTGCTAGAAGTTCTGCTGAAGCCATTTAAGAATGTGGTTTTGGGTGTCCAGCATTCAGCTGCTGGGGACACAAAAATTGATAAGAGGAGTCTCCTATCCCAGGGGCCGACGCAAGCCTGTCTGGGCCTCGAACAAAATCTCAATCAATAATATTATTTTGCTTTTGCCGGCAGATTGGTAATATAAATGGAAACTTGTTCCTGCCAGCTACAATCTAGCCGATAAGCGTGAATATTCCAATAAGTGACCTTTCTTTCTTGAGCCGAGGTACGGTTTTATTACAAAGTAAACATTACGCACATAAATATAAACTCATCCTATAATCATGTCAAGAAGCCACGCAAAGAACTAAATTTTTTTACACTTGGGGAAGAAAATAATCTTTTTCTTCAAAAAATTTCACTGTACAATCGAGGTCACATATCACTCCATCAATTTCTCTCACTTTTCTGTGCCATCTTCTTCACTTTTACGTTCCCACGTAAGTACGTACAATACGTTCCGTCAGAGATTGTGCTTCTGGGAGGGCCCCGGGGCTGGAGTCTTGGCAACCCCCCCCCCCCATGTGGGGGGCCTGTAGTTGCTCTTGATAGGCACCAAATTCGAATTTCATTTGTACCAACTGTGCGAAATGACATACAGAACTGAAATACATGTTTTTGTTCCTTGAGTAGAAAGGATATCTTGAATGCAACACATTTTTCTTTGGATTGCAGTACTTTTCCAACTTTTCGAGGATAGTTTGCAACGACTCTCTCTCTTGCAGTCACTTTTTTCAAAGTTGTTGTAGACTTCGAGCGGTTCCTCACCAATTAAATTGAGTAGCAGGGCAACTTCGATATCATCCTTTTTCTTTGAAAGATCGGCAGCTAACATATAAATTTCAGACTGTTGGCAAAAAGTCAGCTGAGCAGCCATGATACTGTATTGAGTTGGATCGGCTTCTGACCGTCCTCAGTAACAGGTAGTACAAGCAGAGCGCAGCGATCTCTACTTGCAGTATGATGCACTATCATAACATTCTGGACATGTCTCTTTTTGAAAATCACTGTTCTCTCTGCAGTGTTCCTGAAGGCATATTTTTTGGAATCCAGTCTACTATTTTCTTCGCCAAGAACCATACAAAACAATTTATTGACACAGAAGTTAATTTTCAACAGTTGATTATGTTATACCTTTTAATCCGGGAAGTCCAACAAGTCCTGGGCTTCCTTTTTCTCCTGGTAAACCTCTCTCTCCTGGGAGACCAGGCGATCCAGTAGAGCCAGGAAACCCTTTTTTGCCTTTTTTACCCTCAGGACCTTCAACGCCTGGTAGTCCTCTGGGTCCTGGTGGGCCTGTGTCGCCCTTGATTCCCATCTCTCCTTTAGGCCCAGGTTCTCCCAGCAATCCCTTGAAGAGAAAACCACTGAATGAACGAACAAGACAACTTTAACTCTCAGAAGTTAAATTCAAAATTAGTAGAAATGGAACTCGCTCCAATTCATTGGATGAAAACAATCTGTAATCGCTGAATTATTGGTAGTAGCACCATAATGGACCAGTAGACAAGGCTCAAATTTCTGCATTCTGATACACGTTTCATAATCAAAATTTCACGTAAAATACGATGCGCACATCGAAAATTACCGAAATCAACCCGTTATGAAGATATTTAATGATTCTTGATGCGTGAATTCAAACCACCCGCTCATGAAAACTCAATGCTCTACGTGACTCACATCGCGCGCTAAACGTTATCATGACAGTCTCTGCGATATAAAAATCTGGCAACCTTAATTTTGACGCTTTAGCTCAGCTATTGCAAGTTGTTCATAGTTTGAACAGTACATTGTGGGAAATGAACATCGCTTGATTGAGAAGCTTGCTGAAACCGTTGTAGTGCACGATTTGACTCACGTAGAGCTTTGAGTTTCTTGTGAGCGGGCAGTTCAAACTCCTCGTAACCAATGTGAAGTATGAACGTTAATATCTTTGTTAGGAGTTGATTTCGGTAATTTTCGTTACGCAAATCGTGTTCTACGTGAAATTCTGGTCAAGAAACATGTATTAGAATGCTTAAATTCGTACCTTGTCTATTGGTCCATTAAATCAGTGAGAGCGATAATGCACCAACTCGGTAACTCAAAAATGGTCAATTTCCATTAAGGAGAGGCAGTTTACATGAAGGTCATTGAAATTAACGCATCTGTTCCAACTCGGACCTTTCAAGTGGATTGCATTTTGCAAAAAGGAACCAGGAGTATTACAATATTGCTAAAATTGTGCAGCTCCTTTCGTCTTGGAAGGAACACCTGATTATATATAAACCGTTTCTATTTTACTCGCTAAAAACTGTAAATTAGGGACAATAATTACCATGTAAATTTTATATTTTTTCAGAATATAAATAGTTATGTTTCAATGGGTGAAATTGCACAATCTTAGCAACATTGCACTGCTCCTGGTTCCTTTTTGCAAAATGCAATCCAATTGTCCTTTGTCGTTTTTAGCGAAAAATAATATTAACCAAGATTGGGAGAAACGAATTTGATTTTATCACCAAAATAGGGACATCTCGGTCTTCGCAAGCGACTAACAACGAACTGAACTATCATGGCCGGACGCCACTCGGACGTCAGTCTCAATCCACTCGTTGAGAAGGTGAAGCTCCCGGTTTTGAGTCTCCAGCTGAAAAATACCTTTCCTTACTGATAAAAGGGTTAAATTTTTATTTCTTATTGTCCGCGTTCACACCGCATTCCACATCACGCGTTTTTATTTTATTTTTAAATTTTGTTTATTTCTTACTGCTCGCGTTTACACCACATTAACGCGATAGGAACATTTTGATACACTTTCACTTTTGGGTCAGGTGGGCCCATAACCTGTCGCTTTTAGCAAAAATAATATTAACCAAGATTGAAGTACTTGTCTTTCGGCACCAAACTTCTTTTTCTTGTACTAACTTCTTCAACTACTGTGCAGTTTTGCGGTGTCTTGATTATTTTCATTTTTTCGAGTTGGTGTGTTTTCGTTCTCACTGATTCAATTGTATAAGGTAATGTACAGCCAAAGTGCTCGGTATGTCATAAATTCGGATTTGAATTTTTGACTCGGTTTTTTTTTTAACAGACTTTAAAAAAATAAAACAGTCATAATCAGTTAAAAAGATGCAAGTCAAAAATTCAAATCTGAATTTATTTTGGTCGCAAACTACCCTACGTAATCTGTAATTACCGTGTCTCCTCTCAGTCCTGGAAGTCCAGGACTTCCTGGCGGTCCTCTCAGGCCAGGAAATCCAACAGCACCTGGAGGTCCAATCGGTCCGGCGTGCCCTTTAAGACCTGGCATTCCATCCACTCCCCTCGCTCCTGCAGGACCTGCCACACCGGGCAAACCTGTGTCACCTCTGTCGCCTTTTGCTCCTTTTAAACCAGGACTACCTGTGTCTCCGGGAAATCCCTTATCACCCTTGAGCCCTGGAACTCCCTGCAAGCCTTGATGCCCACGCTCACCAGGGCTACCCTGCAAAGTAGAAATCGTGTTTTATTTATTTACATTATCAATGAGCAGTAACCAATAACAAATAAATCAGACGAAAGAATAACAAGAAGGCAGCAGAAGGTTAAATAAAATTCAAACAAATGACAAAAGACTAAGATAAGGTGACAGAATTACGATTACAAATTACGTAAACTGTTCTGTCGTTCGAAACATCCACTTTATTCAAATTGATTTACAATGTGTAAAATTCTTTGTAGAAGTTCACGATGAATTATTAATGAAAAAAAGAAGAATCACAATAAGATAAAATATAATAATAGAGAAAACATCAGAACAGACTGACATTATCCTTAATAGCTCGCTTAAATTGAGAAATAGAAGCATTAAAATTATCAATCTGGGAAGGCAGAGAATTACCCAGACTGGATAGACGGCATACAACTGACTGATGACACAAGTTCCTATGCGATAGATCAAGGTGGAAAGTATTCTGGGAATTCCTGGTACTTCTACCAGGAACCCTGATATTGAGGCGGTGCTGAGGTAGCAACTCAGTAAGAAGGGGGCAGGAAAAGAAGAACGCAGGGATCAGGGAACACCATTGACCCTTCGACCAGCCCGAACACAAAATAGAGACTTTTAAAATATATTGGTTAATACTATGTATTGCACTTATTAGACAGGCATTGATTTATTTGTTGAAATAAGTTTTGAAGGTGTTTTCTGTAGTGGGACAGTTCACCTCAATGACATATTCATCTAATAACCTATCCGGGGGCGTACTACACTGCTAAGGGACAGAATCTAACAAGAAACTACATTTCTTTGGCATCCTGCCTCTCTGCTTTGCAAGTTTGTTCATGACTTGTGGCTCCAATTCCTAGAAGATCAATTGGTCACTGCATGAAAATAAACTAAAAAAAGAGAAATAATCCAAATGTATCCGATTTGTACTTTATATGGAGTTGTGATAGTCTGCGCTGCTTTCTCTTGAAATTGTAGGATTCGACAATCAGAGTGTAGCGATGAATATTATACCAGTTACGAGCATCGTCAGTCAACAACCTGGCAATGTCATTAAACTTATATTGATCTGGAATAGGACGGATCTAGTGGGGTGGAGTCAACACAGTTATTCTAAGAAAAAATCAGGCAATATTGAAATTCAAGGAACTTCGTCATTTGGATTGAGTTTTGGAAGAATTTAGGTGTGACGCTAATATTTTCTTCAATACATGTAATGATAATTCATGAACTATTGTTAAAGTGCTTAAACTGGAAGTTCAATGATCCTTGTACTCACTGGTACTCCTGGATATCCTTCATGCCCTTTGCTTCCAGGTATTCCAGGCAGACCCGAATCACCCTTGTGTCCTTTAGCACCTGGAGACCCCTGCCAAACAACAGATAAGATTAGTACAGATTAGAACTTGATACATATAATCAGATACAAAAACTTGATACAATACATCATCGGCTAAATTCTTCTGAGATAGTTCATTTGTTTCATGATTACACTTTAAATAAAAACTCTACTTGGTTCGAGTAACCTCTTTCAGCTTTTGGTATCTCACACAATAGGAGCATTTTATTTCGACAGTCATTTACAAGTGCACCTGAAGAAGTGCCAAGACATTTGTATTTGAGGCACACAAATAAGCCATACAGTTTCGTTACTTTACCTGTCGTCTCTTTGAAGGTTTTCAGTGCCCTTGGCTCATTTAAATATCCCCAATCTGTTGCTGAAGATTCAAAGTGCGGTTTGTATTCCATCTCTTTCACCGCTTCTCCTGGTTTGCTTGTTGTAATTTTACAGATCTTTGCAAAGTCAGAGATAGTGGCGCGATATTTTTTCTCTGCAAGCCATAGCTTATTTTCTGATTGACCTCTTGAGTTTACCTCTATTTCCTTCTGCTGTTAAGAATCGGAGGGGCAGCGCAATCTGTTCTTGCAGCTCAGTTTCTAGCATGTCCAATCTCTCACACCTTCCGCCATAGTTATTTGATGCATCATATTTTGGTAGGAAGAATCACCGCTAGCATCGTCTGGAGTATGAGTCATACTCATTAGCACTGGTGTCTCTCGGAGTGCCTGTTTGCAAAAATTTACTCTCATCTCGTTGAAGTAATTTCTTCCTCACATTACCAACATTGCGGCGTGTCCTTTTCCTGGCTATCTCCCTCATCAAGCTTGCACTTGATGAAGACCATGCATCCTATAGTCTTACCAATTGATTGCAATTCTAGCATCCGAAAAGAATGCCTCTTCTTTTTGAGCCAGTCTTTGCACTGCATTATTTCCTTTCGCCACCTTTTTTAATTTTTTCTGCAGTTTGAACATGTGTTCTCTCTGATTATTGTATAGGTGATTCATACGCTCTACCTAATCTCACTCAGAGCCGTACGAAACTTTCTCCACGAGGTTTTTCATTACACTCCAGTCGCCACTACTGCTTAGAATCGTATATTTAATACCATAGGTTGTTTGGCTCTTCTCGAACCCTTCGACAATCATGTCTGTCTCCATTCCTGTTGATGAGCCTGTTCAGTTCTTATAGCAGACATGCTTAGGAATTTGTATCGGAATTTGGAAACGTAGCGTCTCTCAATATTTGAGAGTTGAAAAATGAAATCAATCCACAGGTCAAATTTCATTACTTTTCCGCTTTAATTGCATATTGTTTTAAACAGTTGGCGTGGTTCCCAATACAATGTTTCCCCATGTTCTTAACAATGCTGTGAATGGTCTCTTGGCTAGCATTCTCTTCGGAGAGCTGTAAGACCATGCATCTTAAACTCTTGCCAATCATTGTAATTCTGGCGTTTCAAAGGAATGCCCTTTCTCTTTGAGCTTGCCTTTTTACTGCGTTTTTTCCTCTTGCTGCTTTTTTTAGCAAATAGCGCATCCGTTGCTTCTATGCTGAGATAATTGCTCACGATATGAGGGGCTACATTCCATAGATTGCTCAATTATAAATGTTATTGAATCGAATGCGCATGTGAAATTGAACTTTAAGTACTGTAATTTGCCTCCAAATAAAACTTTCACTGGAGGAAGACTGATACCATTCTTCAAGAACGTAATCTCGGTGGAAATAGGTGGTTCAATAGATGAAGAAGGTGGAGTTAGTGGCCTCACACCCAATTATTCATCAAAGAGATCTTCGGAATCATCGTCTGGAATCTCAATGGAGGAATCAAGATCATTGGAGGCTTGCTCCTGTACGCCAGAATCTGGTATTTCAATGAAGGAATCAAGATCAGTGCCGTCTTGCTCCTCTACATCAGAATCTGAAATTTTCAACTGATCTTCTTTCTCAGACTCTGCCTTTTCGTTCGCTTCTGCCTCTCTCAAAGCGTAATCTTCCGAGCTTTCTCGAATTGGCATTTGCCGTTTGCGTTGTGGGTCTACAATCTCAACAAGGAAGTGTTGTCTAACAAAGGCCAGCATTTTTCTTTCCATTTCTTGCCACTTTACAGAGTTAAAGTAAATCTCTTCAATGTGCATGTCTACTTCTGTCCATACTATAAAATAGCACACGGAGCAATCTGTCACTCTAAGTTGACACTGAATCTGATACATGTAATCGGCCGAATCTTTCAGGTAAAGTTCATCTGTTTCATTATCATATTTTAAATGAAAACTAGACCTGGTTTGAGCGACGTCTTTCAGCTGTTGGTATCTTACGGAATAAGGGCACTCTATTTCGACAGTGGCGTTGTCATCCTCCACAAGTGCATCTGGAGAAGCACCGAGACATCCGTCTTTGAGGTAGACAAACAAGCCGCACAATCTAGTTACTTTGCCTGTCCTCTCCTCAAAGGCTTTCAATGCCCTCGGCTCGTTCAATTTCCCCCACTCAGTTGCTGGGCATTCAAATTCGCGTTTGTACACCATGTTTTTGACCATGTTTCCAGGTTTCCCTCTCTGGAGCTTACAAATCCTCGCTGCATCAGAGGCAGTATCGCGATATTTTTGTTCCGCAGACCATAGGTCATTTTCTGACTGGCCTCTCGTGTATTCCTCAATTTCCGCCTGCCGTTTTTTGTCAACCTGCAACAGTCGGATGGGTATCGCAATCTGCTCTTGCAGCTCAGTTGCTGGCATGTCCGGTCTCTCACACCTTCCGCCATAATCCTTCGATGCTTGAACTTTTGCTGCAGAAGCTCACCGTTCGAAATTTCCGGAGCATCTGGGTCACTTTCATCATCAGCGGTGTCAGGTGGAGTGCCTGCTTGTAAAAATGTACTCTGCTCTTGTAGGAGTAATTTTCTCCTCACATAGCCGAGACTGCGTCTTGTCCTTTTCATCGCTATCCTCTTCATTAAGCTCGATGGTGATTTTTTATGGAGCTCAGCAAATAGCGCATCCCTCCAATCTTGCTGATGCGTGAAAATTAGAGCAGCTATGTGTACCCTTTGAGAGTATGCATCTCTCCTTCCATAAAAAACTTGTTTTGCTCCAGTGGCCTTAGTGACAAGGTGGTTGAAGCTTTCTGGCAGGTTTGTTGTTTCATACTGAACAATGCTCCGATGATAGCGTGTGAGCTGAGCAATTATATTGTAAGTTGAAAAACAAAATCTGTTGAGAGATCCAATTTAAATACATTTCCGCTTTTATTGCAGAATTTCTTCAAGCATTTGGCGTGGTTCCCAATGCAGTTTTCCCCTATGTTCTTTTCGACGCTGCAAATGGTCTTCTGGCTAGCATTCTCTTTGGAGAGCTGTAAGACCATGCGTCTCAAAGTCTTGCCAATCGTTGTTATTCTGGCGTTTGTAAGGAAAGCCTTCTCTCTTTGAGCCAGTCTTTTTACAGCGTTTTTCCCTCTTACTACTTTTTTTATCTGCTTCTGTAGTTGGAACAGGTGCTTTTTTTTTATTTTTGAAAAGGTGATTAAGGCACTCTACCTTTTCTATTTCAGATCCGTACGACACCTTCTCAACGAGGTTTTTCATCACACTCGAGTCGCCATCACCGGTCAGAGTGGTATATTTTATGCCATGGGTTGTTAGGCTCTTATTAAATCCCTCGACGAGCATGTCTGTCACCATGCCTGGTGAAGAGCCTGACCAGCTCTTATAACAGACATGCTGAGGGATTTTTATAGGTGTCAACCTCCTACTTCGGTTTCTGAAGGCTCCTTTTGCCTTCAGCTGTTGCCTCCTTTTATTTTGCTCAACTTGGCATATGTAACAATATTTGTTTCGTATGCCACCTTTTCTATGTCGGATCCATACGATACTTTCTCAATAAGATTTTCATAACACTCGATTTGCCATCACCGATCAGAGGTATATTTTATGCCATGGGTTGTTAGGCTCTTATTAAATCTCTCGACGAGCATGTCTGTCTCACTGCCTGGTGAAGAGCTGCTTTCATCATCCGATTTTTTATCGGCTTGATCAAGTAATTTAATTTTAATTAGATCTGAAGGAATTTGAGCATGAGAATTTTCTAGAGCTAGAACCATGGGATCATAAACAGAAGTAAACCATTTAACATGATGACACCAGTAACAGCCGGTTTCAACTGAAACAATCGAACTTAAAAGACGAGCATAATGGCTAGTACATGCCAGACCAGTTCTTATAACAGACATGCTGAGGGATTTTTATAGGTGACCTATATACTTTATACCTCGGTTTCCGAAGGCTCCTTTTGCCTTCAGCTGTTGCCTCCTTTTATTTTGTGCAACTTGGCATTTATAACAATATTTGTTTCTTATGCCACCTTTTCTTTGTCCGATCCATACGATGCTTTCTCAACGAGGTTTTTCATAACACTTGAGTCGCCATCACCGAACAGAGTGGTATATTTTACGCCATGGGTTGCTGGGCTCTTATTAAATCCCTCGACGATTATATATTGAAATTCGTAGCCATTCGGCTTTATCCTCAGAGCTTGATATGCTTGTGGAAAAAGAGAGGAATGAACAAAGATGACGGATTTACTAGATTGAACACATAACAGAATATTAATAATAATAACCACATACAAAAACAATATTGCCTTCTAGGCTGAAACACCTTATGGTGCCAAACTGTACCACTTTGTACTAACTTAGATGTAAGTAGAACAGCAAAAAAAAAACATCATCAAAGAATAACGAAAAAATTTATACTCCTTCATATTACTGCGGGATTAGCTTAGATTACAATAGATTAGACCACAAGTTGAGGAACAAGATTTTATCAAATTAGGGATCAATTGAGTAAGGTTATGAGAAATTTTTCAATAGTGTTTTTTTAAATGCATCCAAATCACAAAAGTGAGAGGATGACACAACTTGGAGAAAAACCATGTATGTGTAATTCAATTTTCGATCAGTACAGTAATTTCAGCTGATATCTCTTCTTTTTGAAACAGAAAATCTTGGGCAAGTGTTCATTGTTCGGACTTTCAACTCCTTGCTTCACCATGCCAACTCTCCATCCTCCTTATTTCTCAAGCTTATTCTGATCAATTTTTTGGGCCTGGCCCCCTCTTCAAAGGAGTCTTTACTCCTGACATGCCTGGTGTAGGCTGTACATCGTCTATCCCGGCTGCTTGTTCTCCGGTACGAGATCTTGGATCAGGTGGAGGAGGACCCGAAGGAGGTTGGGGCTGAGGCTGAGGCCGAGGCTCAGACTGGGGCCGCGGTTGAGATGGAGGAGGAGGTGGCGGTCCTCCAGGAGGTGCACGAAGAGCAGGAGGTTGACCCATCCCAGGGCCACCGCCGCCGCCGCCTTGGCCGCCGCCGCCTTGGCCGCCACCGCCTTGGCCGCCACCGTCTCTACCAGGGCCTTGTCCGCCTTGGCCACCGCCACCGCCATTCGGCCCTTGATCATCGTCTGGGCCCGGACGCCCCCCATTGTTGTTGGGGTTTACTGGGGCGCCGGGCCTGCCCGAAAATCCGCGCGCAGACGATCGACATCTTCTTGGGACTTAGCACTTGCCCCAAGGGATTGGAGGGCAGTGCGCGCTGCCATTGCGCTCTGGAGGCGATACGAATTAAGGTCTGTTTCGAAGTCTGCACTATAATCCGGGTAACTCTGGACCCTTTCCTCTGATAGATGGGAGCTCTTGGCTAGGGTCGACTTCGGGGACATTTTATTTATAAAAGTTCCAAGACGGCCCAAGTAGGAGTCAGCATCCGAGTCATTATACTGGGCTCTAGGGACTCCTGTGAGATACGCAGCGCCAATGTGGTAGCTGGCTCTATTCGTGCGTATGGCGGCAACTACAGGCGGGATGCTTATGAAATCACGAGGCGAGGGGCATATCGCAATTAATAAACTTTTAACTATTCTCGCTGCTGCCTCCGCTGCAACCCCAATGCGATGGTTGCCAGCTGGCAACCCCGTATATCGCAATAATGCATCAGGACTAAGCACAAAGCCATTAGCGTAAGCCATTTTATCCGTAACTCCCACGCTCTCATGATTTTCAACAGATCCTTCTGAACCGGATCGGCAAGATCTGAATAGAACATCGGGTGTAGCATCATCCGACGAAACTCGTCGATAACTCTCGGCAGGGGAGCGAGCCCCTCGTCCGCGAACGCGATCAGCTCTTTCAGAAGTTGAGCCAACGGATGATTCGCCACTTTCCGTTTTGTCTGTTCGGCCCGTTTTTTTTCCGATACTTTCTTCTTCTCCTCCTTCATGTCCAGTTCCTCGTCCTGCAACGTTTGGGTCGCTACGAACGGCGGTTCGTCCCGTTCCTGCTCCTGCTCCTCCGTTTCCTCCTCCTCCCGGCGAGGACTCGCGCACGTTTCCGGCATTTGACCGCACTCCGCTGCGTTCTCCGCGTCCGCTTCCGTTTCCGACTCGGAAGCCGATATTTCGACTATTTTCGGCGCTATCGTCACCTTTCGCGACTCTTTCTTCGTTGCCGCTCCCTTCGAGGGATTGGTCATCCGATCCGTCATCGCTCGAATCTTTTTCGCCGGAGTAGTGGTGAAAAATTTCTTCAAGTCCTCCGAGGTTCGTTTTTTTGTGTTTCGCTGCACTCCCTGAACTGCTCAGAACTCGGGGACTACTACTACAATTTCCGAACTAGCCACGAAGGCTAGCCGGAACGAGCCTTCGTGGCTCGTCCGGAAAGATGACTTCAAAGGAGGACAAACACTTTTAGGATGAAAAGGGGATGGCCCGGCGGCCACCCCGCACACTCCACACTCGACACTAAGACATTTGAACGAAAAACGGAAAAGAAGGCAATTCACCCCTTCTAGGGGTGAACCCAAAAACAAGAAACTTACATCTTTGAAACAAGAAGGAAATGCGACCCGCTCGCGATCACGATCTCGACAACGATACCTACTCTCTCTCTCCTCTCACTAGGTTCGCTGTTGTTCCCACCGCTCTCTCGACTCTGACTCTGGCGGGAACTTTAAACTCTGGGTGACTGGCTGCTACATCCCGACGGGCCGGCCGCCGAAAACTCTTATTCGTAACCACCGGATGTAGTCACCGAAGTACTTGCTTCTTGGTTGGACATGTTTCAGTTTTTCTAAAAATTCACTTTCCGCTTCGCGCACGAACACCAAAGAATCTTCGTCGGACGAGCACAAGTCACTCCACGGCGAACAGTCAGCGTCTGAATCCATGTTGAACTGCCGAGCGCGCGAGAAATCGCGGCCTCCGCGCCATTAGCGTAGGTTAGGTTAGGTTAGGTTATATTCGCTCGCCCGATTTCACTTTCGACGCATATTCGAAAGGCTCCACAGGCCTCACGTTGGGGATCTGGGCCACGTTTAAAGTGTGAAGAGTGCTTGCCCAGTGGCCAAGTGTGTGGGCAGCAGTGGTCAGCGACACCATATCGGCGCCAGGGAACTTCAAGCCAAGAACTTTGGCAACATAGCGGCTTGGAGCCCCCTGGCCCGTATGGTGGTTCATAAGCCACCAATTGGCCTTTGTAGCCACGATCACTGTAAGGGCTGTTCTTAGGGCCTCTACTGTGTATGTGTGATCTGGGACAGCCTCCCATGCCTCAGCCTCAGGTGGCGGAGTGTTGACTGGGAGCCAGTCACCGTCTGCCTGGCCATTGACCTTTCTGAGGAGGCCAAACATCACGCAAGCCATAGCCCCGGATGTCATGAGGTCGAGAGCAGCTGGAGGCATATGTGCAAACTTGTTTCGCGCCCAAGCCCCGGCCAGCGAAACTGCACGAGGGAGATTGGACCCTACCAACAACGGGAGTTTGATGTCATCGGGAAGCATCGGGTCCACCCCGACGGCAATCCCTGCTTCCAAACTCCCGTTGATGGGAGGAAGCGCAATCATAAACCCCTGCAGGGGTACATGGAGATCTTGTTGTTGGGCCATGTTTTGGCGGGAGATTTACTCAGGGAGAGGGATTTACTCTGTTGAGATTCTGCCGGCCACAAATACGTGCATGTTCCGTTTGGTATGTCGCGTGGTGGCAAATCCTTGTTCATTTTATTGAAGAAAGACTGAATGCAACGTCTTTTTCGGTGACAAGGTAAAAAATAGAGTCACATTTGTCTTGGATTGATTTGTCCCAAAACTGGGTCAAAATAAGTGCCAGACATGAAGATACTTTTTACACTGTTCAGAGGTAAATTTCGTTCAATTTTTGGATGAATACTGCCGCAATTTCATACAGCGTGAATTCGACAGTTGCCTGGGCAATGACATTTTCATATGATGCGACAGAATCTGAAAACCTTGCTCCTTTGCATTTTCCCGAGGTTTCTACTTGGCCGGCTAATAAAGCTGTCCGGATCGACAGACCATTGATCATTAGTCCAACCATTTTTCCATATTCTGAAAATGATTTTTCCTTTCTGATGCAAAATGTTTGTGTTGCACTGAGCGAATGAGGCAAGTGAGACTTTGATTCAGTTCATGCACGGACGGAGCTGGTGCCTTTATCCGCGTATCCGGCGTACGAGTCGACTATTTGGCAAACCGCAAAATCCATGCAGTGACGCGCTGCAGTTTGGTAAAAGTAGAGTATTTTGATAAGTGTGTTACATTGAGTGGAAGTGAGCTCTGGGTAGTATTTGACTATTGAAGTTGGCACCGTCTGGAGGTCACTCCAAAGCGCGCATCTGCATGCAATGCATAGGATTTCTATTTTACATGAAAAGACTCTGATTGGCATGTAATCATTTTGCTGCACTAGCTGGTTAATAGTGCTAGTATTTGTGGTGGTTTTCTGAGTGTAGTTGCATCCCTGTATGTGCTGGAGAGATATCTCAGTTTGGCGGACTGGTTTTGATATGCAGCCAAATCTAGTTAGGCTAGTCCCATGCTTGAGTGTCGCTCAGCCAAGTAACCATTTCTTGACAATGAATAACGCTATCTTCATCTAATGTTAGGGAAAGTGCTTGTATAATCTTCGCACGCGCAGGGATGGGAAACGTAGGGTTTTCCTTGAGCACATTAGAATGAGGAGGCAAATCAGATAAAATGCTTGGCAGACCTCCCCGTCATTAAAATTTTCGCTGTCTACATCATCAATTTTTAATTTAGTGCTTATTTTTCTAATAGTATGACTTGTGCCACTAACACCATTAATTTTAATTTTTACTGGTTGAAAAGTACAACTGTCCCGGCCGTGGACACTCGAATTTATGAGAAACGACGCTACTGCGCCAGAATCAATTAAAAATAAGAAGAAAATCAACTGCCTCTCTCTCGATTTTTCAAATTTTTTTGCTGTTTCACCATTTATTTCACTGATCATCACTTCTCTCGTCCATGAGTTTGCACTTTATCCTTGTTCTTGGCTAGACATTATTCAAGGGCAGACCTAAGATTTTCAGGATTTTCCCGCCTGTAAGACACAAAACACTCTCAAGTAATGCTTACCGGAAGTCCAGCAACTCCAGGTATCCCTTGCTGTCCTTTTTCACCGCTCAATCCCTGGTCTCCTTTCAAACCTGGGGCTCCAGGAAGTCCTTGATGGCCTTTAGCTCCTGGAAATCCAGGTAACCCATTCGGACCCCTCATCCCAGGAACACCTGGCTGTCCATCTAATCCTGGTTCACCGTCCTCACCTGGTTTCCCCTAGAATGGAAGTTTATTTATTTAGGATTAAGATCAACGTTTGTTAATCAAGTTCTGATGAGCAAGGTCCCGTCATAACTACTAGCTAAGATTGTGTTTTTGCAACAATCAGATCAGTTCTGATGCTGTCTCTGGATTCCAAAAAATAGCCTTCAACCCCCCTTTTATTTTGATTTCAAATTCAATTCATTGATTTTGCAGATAATAGCGTCATGTGTATTTAGATTACCTTGATGGTTATCACATGACACGAAGCATCAATTTTCCCCCACGGATTATTGTTTATTTTGAATAGAGGTATCAATGCTCAAAGCCAGTTAAACTTAATTTCAGTGGAAGATCGCAAAGTCTTATTTATCATTTGAATGAATTATTTAGCAATACGTGCATGCTTCCAATAGAAAATCTCAGCGAATTTGTGTCATACTATGAAACAAATTTAAAAATAAAATGGTAAAGAAAATATCCAACCCTCCTTGAGTATAGAAGCAAATAATTTAAATGAAATTTTATGATGTAATGTAATTAATCCCCTTCAACTTTGACCATTTCATTTTTGAATGCATTATTTTACTATCAAGAAAATGCTGTGTATAGTTGAAGCATTGGTGTTAATGCTTGTGACACTAGCCTTGATAGATTTTTTCGCCAAGTACATAGCATGGGATCAAATATTATCTCTAATATTGGAGGAACTAAAATCGCAATTTCTTTTATTGCTGAGGGTGTGAAAAAAGTTCTTCAATCTAAGGTAATGACTTTTTCCATCATTGTTATCTTCAATTAACGGATTAGGTAATGAGAAAGAAGCAACAGCATTAACATTTTCGATTAAGATTGGTTCTAAATCAAAAGCATAGATATCGATGAGAAAATTCCTCCCCTAATCATGCGCAGGCAGATTGCAACCGCCAATGGTGAACTCTTCGGGTACAAGATTCATGGCATTTATGTCTCTTATAACTTAATGCAATTAAGCTTTTGAGCCTCATATGATTTGGTGTAGACTTCTTTTCGGTCGTAGAGGATGCTGATGGAACATATTTTCAAAGTATTTGATGTATGATTTCATCGGAAATCCTGGGAAATCAAACGTAAATTAGACTTAATAGATCTAAGTTTGACTTCGGATTTTGTACTCGTTCAGATCAGTTAAGGTCAACTCACCAGAGCTCCAGGAAGACCTGGCTCGCCTCTTAAACCTTGTTGACCAGGCGGACCAAAAGGTCCGGATTCACCAGGTTGTCCTCTCGGTCCTGTGAAGCCCTGCGGTCCAGGCGGCCCAGGAGGACCTATCCTAACATGGCGAAATTTCATTACTGATCAAAAGATTTTGTAAACCTGATCAACAGTAGTGAAACTAAAAAATTTAATATTGCTATTTTTAGAATAAATTCATCGTTCAAATAAATGTATCATATGTTAGGATGAAAGTATTCATAATTTTTAAAGAGGTTGGTTAATATTTGAAGAATCAAAATCTATTATGTCAGTTTCTAACATAATCTACTTATTATAATTTTACTTTTATTAAGTATTTTTCTGTATAAATTGAACATGACATGTTTTCTCATAAGTTCTATTTGTGTCACAAGTTCATTGATGTATTTTAGCTCCAGATATCATTAGGACTGACTAATCATGTTAAGAACATTGCAAAGTTGCGTACCCTGCCAAGCTAAAGAAGAATGCTGTATGAAAGTTTGAGAGTTACCAAATTTCCCTTGATATAACATGTATTTTTGATGACATTCATGCACATTTTTCTTTGACATTTTCAGATATATTAGATTAAGTTGCGTACACAATTGTCTGAAAATTTTGGGAAGAAATATTCACAATTTTCCCAGTAAATTAATATCGAAGGAAACTTGGCAACGTCTGAAGGCTGATACAGCGTTCTTCCTTAGCATGGCATTACTGCACTGTTTGCTGAGCTTCTTAAAAACTTTTTTCGACATCTTGAAATTGTATGAGAGTAACCTCATAATTTAATTGTCAATAACAAATTTTGAAAAGAGAAACAAAAAATCGTAAAAATACAAGTAGATTACCCGGTGGTCCTGGGGGTCCTTGAGGTCCAACTTGGAGTAAATTTTGACCCACATCCAAATCTGGAGGTCCTTTCTCGTTGCTAACTCTCGACTTCCCAAGCTCTTTGTAATAAGCAGGCATATCAGGTGCCACATAATTATCAGAGGGTCCTTTCTCCTCGCTCTGACGAGTCTCAGTGTAAGACCCATAATACGGCATTGTGTCCGGCTCCAATTTGATAGGCGGCCTTTTCCCATCGCTATGCTGAATTTGGACAAAATCAGTTTGATAAGGGAGGGAATCTAGAGAAGGGGGTCCTTTCTCATTTTCTCGTTGATTTTGAGTAAAGTCGATATGAGATGCAAAATTCGATGGTCCTTTATTGTCACTGCGTTGGTTTTGCGATAAATCTCCTAAATATGACGCTGCAGTTGTGAAGGAGGGCCCTTTTTCGTCTCGCCTTTCACTTTCCAGGTAATCATTGTAACTTGGATTTGAATCTTGGACCGAGGGTTTTCTCTTGTAGCTCACCTATGGAAAGCAGAATATAATTGAGTTCTCAGTATTAATTTATTTCTCTGTGTTTTCTTCGAATCCTGGTGTAAATTTTCTAAAATGCACTTTCATGATTATGACGAATTGAACAGATATTTTTGTCAAGAGCCCAAGTGCCAAAATCCAAGTTTCGACAAAAACAGTAAAAACTGTGCCATTTTCAACTCTTTTCAATTTCATTTTCAATGTTAATTCTTTAAGCCCAAAAGAATTTATGTGTTTTAAAAATACCAATTGAAACTGGGCTCAAAAGATCGAATTCACATCGAATTATACAATTCTTTGGAGACTTGGATTTTGGCGCTTGGGCCCTCAAAAAGACTATCCGTTCAATTGCCCTCTGATGTGATAAAACTGAACTAAACATCGAAATTATCGGTCTGTCAAATTCTTGAATCACATAATTGTATTTTTAATTTTTATATTTTTCTGGTTAAAAATTAAATACATCATTCTACAAGAAAATCTTTTTCTTTTCTTTTTTTCGTCATATTTTTATTAACCTAGGGTATTTAACTTTTTCATGAACGATTCAGCATCTCAGCCTGATGCACTAATAATCGATGAGGATTCTGTAAGAAGGGACCATAATGATAGACTAGGTGTGCCTGTTTCTCTGAGCAGTGGCTGTCAGGAAAAACAGCAAAGTTGCTAAGACCATTGCCACCTGCGTGTCCAGATCAGACAGATCAGAGAGAGAAACTCGCCCTTGTTTTATAGTCTCTCTCTCCAGAACCTTCTTCAATTATTTTTTATTATTATATTAAAAATCATTGATTCCCGGTTGGAATAAGAAGGAAAATGCTTATGTGCTCAATGTACCATTATTAGGGACATTTACAATGTGTGGAAATCACTTACTTGAAATGAATCCGTAATTGTTGCCAATTTTTGAGAATCATAAAATTCCTCTTCCGACGGCGCTTTCCTGTCAACCTGCATAAAATTATAAAAGTATTTAAATTCATATTAAATAATTTTAATTACATTGCATCAAGGAGAAAGAAGCTGTCTACTCTGATGTAGTTCTGAGAACCGTGGGAGCTCCAGTACAGCAGTTCAAAATTTATGGAGCCTTGTGGCAAAGTAAAACCTACAAGTAAAATTGAATTGGGCAAACCGCAGTAGCCACTGCTTATTTTAAAAGTACATCATACATGGAGTTGTTACCCATTTAAAAGGGAACTTATCGTTTTGGAATATGTTAGGCGGTTATTCTAAGAAATCTGACTATGTTCTTACAGAGGTGTAAGATAGAATTCTGCGCAATCTAGTCGAATTCTTATTTTGTCTACTGGACCAGTCTCTTCTCAGTTGCGTGAATAACAAAAAAATGTTATATGGTTAGTAACAGGGTGATCAATTATTTCTTTACCTCAGTTTCCTGTTTATCATATTGGCTCTCCTGGTCTCCTGCAAGAACAAGAGGGATAAAATGTGTCACACATTAGAGATAATGGTTCAAAGCCACAGCTCCCAGTTAGTCAACAAGAAGTTACATAAAGTCAGACTTAAGTACCTACTTACTTTTAGTTTTAAAATTAACCAGTTGGCACATAATAGTCATTTAAGACTTCAACACAGAACCGATATCTCTCTCAAGGTGCAGAAGCCCATGCATACGAATGTCTTTTAAGGACTCAGAATTGAACCATTAATTTTTCAAATACTTTGCTTCTTGTTGTTAGAAGCATAAAGTTAGCCCAAATATAAGAGGCATGAAGTTTTATTCCCACATGATACGTAATGCTAAAGACAAAATTTAAAGACTGTTTTTATCTTCAAAATATTTTTCTCGACTTAGAACTTTTGACCGGAGAAGGTTTATCTACAACAAGTTTATCGCAAAACTTTTTCCAACTTGTTTTTATCCCAAATTGCGACTTGGCCACATCACATTCCTACCCTGAAGTCTGAATTGATATCAGCTTTGAACGATGCCCACATTCATACACGTCAGTAATCTGAGGTAGGTGAAAAGCTAAGATTTTCCTTCATTTTCATGTGATACCACATTACATACATTATGAATAGTTGAGCGCTTGGTTTCCGCATGCAATCACGCGGTAAGACCACTGAATTTCTTCTTAACCAGAACCCCTGAAAGCACGGCGGTTAACGGCGACCAAGGCTCCATCTGAACTTGGTACTTACGCTCTTTTACTACACTCTCTATTAAGTAGCACAGATAGCAACAAGTAGCAATTGCATAGTAAAAACATTGCAATTCCATTGAGTGTTGTGTATGTTGCCTAGCTCCTATTTGAAGGGGCCCTATTTATCGAAAATTTTTACAGTAACGTTGAAATAAGTTGCAATTTTTCATTGCATTGCATATTGCCTATCTTTCTGACACATAGAGCTCACTTTGTTGATTGATTAAAATCGGCATAAATCGACTAAATTATGTCAAAGCATTGCAACTTAATGGCTAAAAAATTACAATTTTATTGAAATCAAATTGCGATTTAATTTTAATATTTTCGTTGCACTGTCAGAGTGTCCACAAGTCCAGAAAGTCCGGAAGTAGTACGGATTTTTCAAGGGCGGTCCGGAAGTACCCACTGAAAAAGTGCGGAAATTCTGCAAGAGGGTCCGGAATTTTTGTCATTTTTGTCGCAATTTAAGCGAGAAATTCAAATTTTTGAAATTTTTCGAATTTCGTCGATTGGAGGTACCGAAAAAGTATACTGAATTTTTCTGTTGAGGAGGTACTGAATTTCTCGGGAATGTACTGGAACAGTACTGCTGAAGTACTGATTTTTAGTCAGCCTGTTTAAGTAGACACCCTGACTGTGCTACTTGGGACTACACCACAGAGGGCCGATAGTAACGTTATATCCTCGTGATAAGTTTTTATATAAAATCTTCAAAGAATACGTCATAATACATGTATAAAATAATCACGCTGCATCGTGTGAATTGAAAACAGTTAGCATCTCTCCTGAGCACCAAAGTGACGACATTAGGGACTTTCCACCCTGAGGGACAGGGTGTTTTTAGTTTCACAGTCATTATCTTACCTCTATTGCAGTGACTTTTTACTGAGCAGATTACGATTCCTCTGTTGCAGTGACAACGAGTACAGCCGTCTGGATCCCATTCCTCATCATGTTGATACACTTGCTCTTCGAACGAACAGCTTCCTAATTGTGATTCCCCTAAACACAGGAATTTTATTCAGATTTACTTTTTAATTGGAATATTTTGCTGGCAGTTAAGGTATATGGTATTCCTAGTAGCAATAACAGTTGAGAAAAGTTGTAAAAAACTCGTCAATTTTAAGAGAACTTAAATTTTACTTCAAAAGCACTTGAAAATTACGTAAGAAACTTTTGAAATATTCATATCAGGAAACCCTTTTGGGGGCTTTTTTTTACGTTAAATCGAAGAAAAATTTTAAGTAAATTCTGTTACGTAATATTTATGTAAAAGTGTATTTTTGGTTTTTTTATAAACTTCCTGCGGGTGAAAACGAGGAGAAAAAAGTGGTGAACAGAAAAGTATAAAGGGAAAATTTGCAGCCCATAAAAATTATGAAGATATATGTAGTCTATCGATTTTTACGTAAATTTTACGTTTTCTTGTAATTAAAATAACAATATTTCTTTATTTAATAGAATTCCCCCAAAGGATTTCCTGAAACGATTTTCAGAGTTTTTTTCCTTGTACCTACACGTTTTTTACATTTTTTTTTGGACAACTTTTTGCAGACTTTTTTAAGAGCCATTGCCGACCCACATATGGATCATTTTCAGCTTTTCGCCAAAAGTTTTGTTGCCGTTTTTTTATTTTTTATCCAATTTTTATTATATTCATTTATTTTTTTCTTTCAAGGGTTCCTGATCAAACTTGTGGCCCTAACATTTTCTGAACTGAGAGTCTTGCAGTGCCCAATGCTAATACGAGTGGCAAGATATTTCCAAAATTTAAATTGGATTCGGCAGGATTTTGGTGCGGAAGTGTGAGCTTTTCGTCATTTCACTTTTCTCCATCCGATCGGACTGGCGCACAGTGGATCGAGTCAATAGGAGAGGTCGGCCAAAATTTAGAATTTTTAAACGCCTATAACTCCGTTTATTCAAAACTTAGAGATTCTAAAAGTGGTTCCATTGGTTTCCTCCTGAAATTTCTTTCTAGAAACAACCCTTAAAATTTAAATGTGACGAAATAAACATCAAAATATGCAGTATTAGTAAAAAATTTCATGTCCGACCTCCCTAGTTGACTCGAGCCACCGTGTGGCGTCCCAGTCAAATGCGTTTTTGAAGAAATTATCAATCCCCATCATTGCATCATCTCCATATATCGTCATTTTCCGGCCAAAGTATCACAAGCGCCATGCGACGTTTCAAAATTTCCGCCGCCATTTTATTTTTTTACAGAGAAATTGTTGGTTGAATCTGTTTGAAAATTTCACCGAATTTTATCGGCAGCACAGAGAAAATTCAGTGAAATTTTTGGACAGCTTCGTTGGACAATTTCTCTGGATAAAAATAAAATGGCGGCGGAAATTTTGAAATGCCGCATGGCGCGCTGATGAGTAGCCCTTTTAATCGCCCTAGTAAAAATTGGCAGTAGAATCTGTGTTCCAAAATACCATAGACCTAAAGCCGGCTGTAAGATTTTCAATAGCTTCTATAGCCGGGTGCACAATTTCTGATAGCCTTTTATAGCCGATGGCGATTGAGCAACAGCCAGGCGATAAAGTGTATGCCAAATGTTACTTATTACGGATGCTAGGACGTTTTTGGATTACCGCTCTATTTTTGGGCCGTAGTATCTTGATTTAATTTTGCGCGGAAAGCTCCGTACTTTTGAAGGATGCCTGCCATTCCTAATATGTTGGAGCGCCTTCAATTTCGTATGATACTGTGCAGTACCTCTAGTATGAACTAGTTGCTTCAAGCGCCGTGGCACGCTGCGACGCGGCGGGCGGGCAGCCAGCGCAGCGCGCAAAGCGCCTTAACGCCTACAAACCTAACAGGGATACTTCACGCATTGCGCCATGCGTGGAGTATCCCTGTTAGGTTTGTAGGCGCTGGTGCGCGCTTATCGCTGGCAAACCGCCGCGTTAGGCTCCAATATAATCTTGCGGAGTCAGCGTTGTTCAACTCATGAATTTGAAATGTTTGCACATCCTGTATGGATTCTTCTCATTTTAATTGATGAAAAAAAAATATGTATTAAAGGCAAATATAATGTGTGTATGGTGAATATTATGGTGGTTCCGTATCAAACTTAATGATTTCCAAAGCACACGAATTTCTACACAATTTCTTATAGACTTTTATAGCCGATGGCGATAGAGTGTAAAGCCCGGCGATAGGAACTATAGCCCGGCTGCATACTTTTTTATCGCTTCGTATATCTCGGCTATATGATTTGCTCCGCTTTCTACAGCCAGCTATTTGATTTTCTATTGCCTTCTTTAGCCAGCTATAAGATTTCCTATGGTATTTTGAAACGCAGCTCCTATCGCTAATTTTTACCAGGGCGCAGGAATATCATTTCTGGTATTTTGATGCCGTAGTAAGAAAACTTGGAAAATGGCGCAAGCGTGTTACAAATCAAGTAAGTTCAGCTTGAATAAGCTGCCTTTAATGAACGGCGAGTATTCATTTGCGACAAGGGACACAGAAAATGACCTCTTACCTTTTTTTTCTGGCGCAAAGTTTTCCTCGTCTTGCCAAACACCAGGAGCCGATGCCACCATGCCATCTGGAATCATCCAAAATAAACTTACATACAGGGTGTCCTAGATCGTCCGTACCAGGCCTTTTTCTCGGTTGGCTTAGGTCGCACGATGCCAGAGACCGCAGGGTTGGATAGGGAATCGAGCCCAAGAAATCCGAATTTCATGGTCCCGAAACCCCAGCCCCCCTTAAAGGGTAAAGGGGGGGGGGTCAAGAAACCTAAAAGTCGGGATTCCCGAGAGAATTGCGATTTGATTGCATTAAAATTGAAAAGTACGGAAAATTTCTCGTAAAATTGACCCCTAAAAATCCAAAATCGGTCATCTTATCAAAATGTATCTTCTTATCAAAGTTGGTTCTTTTTACCTACAAAAATTACGATATGAGGTATATATTGCTTTTTAGAAGATATGATTTTTGTTTGTGTTAAATAAAGAAAAAAAATCTGAAATTTGAAGGATGCATTTAGCTACGACTATAATGAACCATTACAGTAAAACAACGACAGATTATTATTAACAGATCATAATTGATTATTTCGGGATTCGAGAATCGGACCCACTTCCCGGGCCGAAGCGGAGTACAACTTGACAGCCCAGACGACTCAGCTGTCGCCGAGCCTGACTATAGTGGTGAATGTTGTGCTCATACGGTAGTGCTACAACTATTGCACCGGCTACTCAGCCACTGCGCAACCCTCTGCGCATAGTGGCAGCATTCTGAAAATTCGCCCACTTTTATGACGTGGTTGTAAAAAATCCTTGCGAAAATCATGGAAATCGGCCCAGTAGAATGCTCAAACGAACTGTGACAAAAAAATTAACATTGTTTAACTGGGAGAATTCGCAACTTTACAACGTAACTTAGGTACCAAAATCTGAGTCATATTTCAAAATTTGAATAGAGCGGGCTCAACTAGAGACAATAATGCCTGTCGATAGCCGCAAAAATCATGAGAATCGGCCCAGTAGAACGCTGGAAGCTGGAAATAAGCGTAACCAGAACTGAAAATTTACGAGGTATGAGAGCTCTCGCAAATCACTCTCGTATTGCATTTCGTGCAATGCGAGAAGTATTCATGCAGTCTTGCAGGCGCTAATAGGTATGCGTTTGACTCCGACCGCACCGTGTTTGGTGCGATTATTCGAACTCGCGTCAGGATGAATAAAAGCGGCATTGGACAATGGGCCTTAAGAGGCCCATGTTGTGTTTTGACGCCGTAAGTGCATTCCAACGTTGCCTCGTTTCTCCCGATAAAATAATTTTTCTGAGAAAAGTTGGGACAGTTCTCTATGTTCGCTTTCTTAGATTGAATGAACCGTTAAACAAGGCACTCTGATACACGATTCTTCACCAGAATTTCATGTGGAACACGATTCGCGCAAAGAAAGCTACTGAAATTAACTTCTAGTTAAGATATTAACGTTTTTATTGTCCATTGGCTACGAGAACTTTGAATTGCCCGGTCACAAGAAAAACAAACTCTACTCTTAGGACTCTAGCGTGGGATATCCCTTCATTTTGACCTCATTTTGAGAGCTTTTTTGAGCTTGGGAGTTGATTTCAGAGAAAACCAGTGGCACCATCGTGTTTCTCGCAAACTTTTGCATAAGAATCAACAGTCAAATCGTAAATTCCTCACACATGCAACATCTCCATCGTCAGGGAATTTCACCAAAATGTAACAGAGAAATCGGGGAAATGTCAGGGAATTTAATTTTCTAAAGTCTTTGGCAACCTTGCATTAAGAATAAAGAAAAACAGTCACACCTTGGTTTGTTTTATTGCGCTCCGGTTCCATTCCACTAGTGTTGCGTCGCGCCGTTTCAAAACTCGCGCCCTCCGTGAAATTCCTCCGGACCTCGCTTCCGGTATTGGCTGTCCCCAATTCCGACTTCCGGACAACCAGACTTCCGCTTCCGGTCGCAAGCATCATCACCAACACCACGAAACTACGGCCGCGGGACATATTCGAGCGGGACGACAAGCATTTCCGAAAATTAACTATCAATTCGAACAAGAGAAGGATCGGGTGAATCCTGGCTTAAAAATGAGAAATGAAACACTCAGAAACAAGAAAAAAACATTCGTCTAACCTCCCTCGGTGGGTTTTGTGCTCAGGCTGTGGTTATTTGATTAGTCACGAAGAAGTTACCTTCAAAAAAACGGTGAGTAAGGAATAAAGGAGAACGGAAATGCAAAAAGAACGACTTGAAATCGAGGGATTTTTACCGGAAATGGCGACGGTTTGGCTGCTAATGTTTTGATATTACGGTAGGTAATTCTTGCAGAGGATCCGAAGTATAATACTTAAACAAGTAAGAAGGAGAGCGGAAATGCGAAAATCATGACCGGAAATCCGGGAAATTACCGGAAACGGCGACGATTTGGCTGTTGGTGTTTCAATATCACGGTAATTTTTACAGAAGATCCGTCGAAATAACTAAATATGGAAGGAGTAGAGCGGAAATGTAAGAATCGTAACCTGGAATCAGGGAAATTCAACTGGAAACAGTGACAGTTCGGCTGCTGGCGTTTAAATATTATGGTAATTCTAACGGAAGATCCGACGAAACGAATAGTACTTAATGAAGGAGGAGAACGGAAATGCGAAAATGACGACCGGATATCGGGGAAATCCGGAAACGGCGATGGGTCGGCTGCTGAGGTTTCAAAATCACTGAAGTTCCAACGGAAAACCCGACGAAACAAATCTATCGATGAATGTAAGAAGTCCCATCAGATTCCTTGAACTAAGCCCTCCAGTCCCTCGAAGCTCACGTTGAATTTTGCCGACGCACTGCGCGGAATGGGTTGTACGATAGTACTCATCGCTGCCCTCGGAAGGCGATCCCTGTGGGTGGTGGAAATAATTAAATAATTACTTCCCAGATCCAGCAGCTGATCGCATAAGCCCTATGATCAACGCGTACTATTTGCCCCAGTCGGAAAATACGTTACCGATAAGTGACGTTCCTAACTTCCCGCCGCGATGTCTCATCGGTGCACATCGAACACACACACTGAAAAAAAAATCTCGGTGTATTTACTAAGAAAAGGGTAAAATTACCAAGAATTCAGGGTTCTATTTGATCCCAGTTTTTTCTTGGTAAAATTACCATTTATGGAATTGGTAATTTTACCGAGAAATCTCGGTAAAATTATTGACCCTCTTGGTAATTTTACTGGACCCCGGTAAAAAAGCCAATATTGTTTATCGACCGTGGTAGAATTACCGAGATAAAATGGCAGAGTTACCGGGAATTGATTACCAATAAAAGTGGTACTCTTACCTGAAAAAAACAGTAAAAATACCGGTTTTTAGGTAAGCTTACCTGTCTGCCTTGGTAAAATTACCAATAATTGGTAAAAAAAAAAAGTGATATGGTAAAGGTACCGACGGACCTTGGTAAAAAAGCCGAGAATTTTTTCTCAGTGCACACTCATTGGCACATCGGTTGCCGGCGGCATTGGCGGATCCAGCAAATTGGCAATATTGTCTTTTCTCCATTTAAACCTATGGAAATGTATCGATTCTTGGAGGGGCCAGGTGCTCCGACAAAAATCGATTTTTTAGCATAGCTTTAAATGGAAGAAATCCAGGGTTGCCAAATTGCTGGATCCGCCTCTAGCCGGCGGTCTGGAAAACGAGGAAAATCAAGGAATCTGCAGCGACCGACAAAAGACAAGGAAATTCAGGGAATATCTGATACAAAGCGGCAATTTCTACCCCAAAAGTGCAGGGTTTTTTTGTGTACCTTGCGGACTATCTTCTAATCACTGAAAAATAGGTAATACTTTGTTCGAAGGTCAGGGAAAGTCATGGAATTAGAAAATTTTGGAGTCGGGGGAAAGCAAAAAAAATCAGGGAATTTAAAGATGAAGAAATTATGGCGATTTTGTCAGCATAATGTCCTTGTCAAATGAGTATTTACGCACTTTTAGACTGAGACAGAAGATCGTTCGACGTCACTTTCGCATAAGGGCTGCGATAGGGTTGCGCGAATGCCCCTTTTTTACCTTTTTGGAGATGTTTCTGGTACAGAAAACTTAGATGTTTGCGCGAATATTCAACGAAGAAGCGTAAATCTGGCGACCTGGGTAGTTTATGGAGGATAACTACACCGCAGAGGACTTTTTATTCCCTGTCTCTCTTCGATGTTATTTCCTGTCTCTCCTCGATGGATAGCCCTCGCAGCACGAATGGTCCAAAGAGCTTTCATAGACATTTAAAGCGTGAACTAGGGGCCTGTGGCCGCTACGCGATCGCCAACCACTGAAAAAACTACACGTAAAAATTCATAGAGCAACCATGTGCAAGTCTTTAAAGAGATGAATGGATTCGAAATCCGACGGGTGCACCCGAAAGAAAGCGTACCTATTTTTATCTCTGATTGCAACGTTATGCATCACTTCTATGTTTTATTTTTCATAAATGTTTTTAAAAAAGCTACACACAGTTTTTCTGAAAAGTTTCCGCGAATTTACCTAAATGATCTCAAATAAAAGAATCGAAAAGTTCGACGCGATATTTTCGTTCGTTCTACCTCCTTTTAATGTAATAAAAAAATGAATAAATAAATATCATCCGAATTTCTGAATCGTTACAATGAAGATGCATATTTTCCCTTTAATTATGGTAAGAACTGGAGCAGAAAGTCAAGAATGATGACACGCAGTTCACTGCCGTGCTAAGGAAGAACGCCGTATGAACATTCGAGCGTAGCCAAATCTCCTTTGATAAAATACTAATTTCTGTGGAAATTAATGTAAATTCTATCTTGAAATTTGCAGGAACATTAGGTGAAATTGCGAAGATAATTAGCTAAAAAATTTGATGAAAATTATTCGTAAGTTCACCAGGGAATTCGTGTTTTATCGAGTGAAATTTGGCAACGCCTGAAGGTTCATACGGCGTTCTTCCTTAGCACGGCAGTACACGAGTACAGTCTTGTAGGCGCTAATGTGCTTTTCACGGCAACCTACCGGCTGCACTGCGTTTGGCGCAATGCGAGAAGTATTCATGCAGTCTTGTAGGCGCTAATATGGGCCTCAAGCCGACCGCACTGTTTGGCGCAAAGCGTGAAGTATTCCTAAAGTCTTGCAGGCGCGGATATACGTTCAACGCCAGCCGCATTGTGTTCGGTGCGATTATTCGAACTCGCGTTAGAATAAACGCGGCATCGAAAAATAAAAGGTTCATGTTGTATTTTGACGCCGTATGAGCATTCCAACGTCTCTATTCACTTCATTTATCATCAGAAAGTAAGACATTGATGACTTTTCAAAAAACTAAGCTAAACTAGCGTGAGCATGAAAATGCGTTTATATTTTCCAACTGTTTCCTATTCTGTCAAACTGTAACCTTAAAGTAACTTCATTATAAATTCGTGCATTCCTGTAGCAGATGTTTAGGTTTCTATTCGCGCAATATTTGTGCCTTTTTCTTGCAATCCTCATATCGACGGTGAAACTGCCAGACCACGTATCTCGTTTGCGGTGTTTAAAAATCTCCACTCACATTTTATTTTTTTGAAGGAGATCAAATCAATATCCTTCCTAACAATTTTCACAGATTTTTCTCCGCACAAAGAGGAAAAATCACGGAAGTTTTCATGAACTGACGTTGAGTAGTTTTCTATTCAAAAAATAAAGTATGACAGGAAGTCTGCGACGTCGCAAACCGAGATACGTGGTTTGGTAGTTTCACCGTCG